CTCAGGGGCTGCTGCAGCACGCCAGCCGACATTTTGAAAACCGCCCCCTCCCTGCATACCCCCCCCCCAACCTTCATCCATTCTCATGTTACTGTTTTTCTCTGGATCTCTTTGTGTGCTTTGGACAACAGTTAAAGTTTCAGCCTCTTTAATGTCAAAACATTGTAACACGGCAAGATTCACTGGATTTTAAGTGAAATATTACTTATTTCTCAATGATATACACAATGTTCATTTAGCATTATTGAAACATTTAAGTGCCAATATTTTACTGTAAATTGAGCAATTGTTGGTCAAAGATAATGTTGTATTTGTGGTACTTTTCATGTATTGTAACTGAATAACTTTTATTTAATATTTTTTTGTTGTGGTTAATCATATACTGTATGTACCATTTGCCATTGTTCTTAACAATACTCAGATTTACTTATTAATTTAGTAATAAAGATTTACTTATTAATTTTGGGGATTTGATCTGTTTCGCTACAACAATCCATTTCAAATTCAATTAAACAAGCTCAAGCGTTTTACCTTCCAGACGTAACGAGGCCATCCTCTGAAATTCTGGCTCCTGTAGCCAGTGGGACATCCTCTTGAAGGTTTCGCGGCCAGACTTGAGTTTCCCCCAAGGTTTGGGGTTCCTGAGCAGGTCTGACAGAGTGCCCTGAGACCTGCACAGAACCCGCTCTGCGAAAATGGCCTGTGGGATGCTGTACCTCTTCAGTTCAGTGATGATTCTCTGAGCCACATCTTTGGTGTTGATCTCCTCCCCTCCACCGCAGTTCTGTGAGCTGGCTAGCATGCCCTCCCTTCCTAAGCTGGTGTTGGAGGAGGAAGGGGAAGAAGAGGGCAGATCCCCGAGCTTGGAGGCCTGTTGGCTTGGGAGGTGGTGCTGATAACTCTGGTTGTATATATGGGGGTGGTAGGTGGGAGTGTGCTGATGGGGATCCATTTTGTTTAACTGGTGGCTGACCCCATGCTCGCCCCCCAGAGATGGCGGTGACATCTCCCTCCCAAAGTCTGGTACTGTTCGACAGATGTTACCCCCATTGCTGCCCATATGGACCTCATGGCCACCTGGAAGCATCTGGCTACTGTGTCCATTCTGACTTCCCAGGCTACCATAGCCATGCATGGCGGTCTCCAGGCCTGCACTGCCCAACGGTGGAGACAGACCCTGTCCCAAACCAAAGTCTTTTCCGTACGGTGTATAGTAGTTTCCTCCCAGGCCGCGATCTTCTCGCATGAGCGTGAAGCTGCCGATGACGTTGCTCACGGGCAGGCAGGGATGATGATGATGATGATGGTGGAATTTGTCATCAAAAGGCTGGAGGGGTGTCAGTGTGGTGTAGGTGCTTCCACAGCTGGTTGGTGGGTCCCTACTGTACCCTAGAGTTGCCATGCTGTGGTCATACGCGGGGCTCTGGTGGTCAGACTCCAGGCCCATAGTGGGGCCTCCCAAAGAGGGACGAGGGAAAGCAGCCGTGAGATCCCGAGAGTGCAGCATGGCTCTGCTGTCCTGACTGTGTGCCAGCTCTACGTGGCTGTGCACAGACATCTCACCCATATTACCATCCATGTCTGCACCGTCCTTACTCCACTTCTTCTTTAAATTCTAGCTGATGTGTTTTTTTCTAACAGTCTAGAGTGTGGTTTCTGTAATGCGATCTAAAAACAGTTCCTGATGCTGTTTATATCTCAAAATCTGATTTCAATGTACTCTCAGAGACATTTCATGGCAGTGGCACCATCTTGGGTCATGCAAGCAAATTCTGTGTTCCATAAATGCATCTAAATTTATCCATGCCAGTCTTGCTTTTGCCTTGGTGACCAAAGCTGAAAAAGAGAAAGGAGGACCATGATCACTGTTTTATTACTGATGACTTATTCAGCTTTATTGATTAGTCACAAATATTATAATACTTGAACCCCTATGATGGTTAAATCCGTTACTAATATTTTTTTCTGTTAATAGCACTTATTTTGTCTACTTAATAAAATTCATTAAACTTTAAACAATCATATCGAGGTTTAAAAACAGGTTGAGAAGAATTAAGTAAGAATTGCTTACCTCGGAGCGTATAGCTTATCCGACTGAATGGAGAGAAGCGAAACAGCCTCTCCAAAACACAATCAAAAGCCGATCATGGGATGGGTTATTCTATACACCTGCAGAAATCCCGAGTTTACAATCACACAACAGTCGGTTTTATGAAACAACGACTTTTGTGTGTAATCAGCATATTTCGGTGTTCAAAAAAAGCAATGGCTCGGTCCGGTCCTTCGCTCCCGTTATCCGCTAGATTCTCGCCGAGGATGCAACACAAATGACGCGTAAAGCCGTACGATTTTGTCCGATGTCCGGACTTCGTTCGCTATGCTGCAACCGTGTCAAAAATGAGCGCCGATGTATGTCTAAGCATTGCGCTCCGTCGCTGTCATTATCTCTGTGGTTTTGCCCTTCTGTATCCTCATCGATCTCGGCCCCAACTCTTTCTCTCCTCTCTCTCTCTTCCTCCAGCCCCCCTTCTCTGTACGTCACACTCTTAAAATCTGACAGATGTGGGGTGAATTTACAACCCTCGTTAACTCCTTCCCTCCTGCGGACCTCAAGAAGCTATTGTCTTAGGTGGGGCTCGGGACGGTGTTCGAATTATACAGTTTCAGAAGAGTTGACTTAAAACAAAATGTATTAGCCTACTAACATTTTCAGGGCGCAATCTGTTGAGGTTCTCGCGTAACCCAAAATGCTTTTGGTGCCCCAATCACAGTTATTCACACGTCAAATAGCCTAGGTATCTTAAAGACTTTGCAAACAAAACAGGTTATTTTATCATATAGGCTACTTGTAATATGTAAATCTTTAACAATGAATAATGATAGACATATATATATTAAGTGTTCGGCCACTTAAGGATTCTAACGAAAAGTGTTCAGCGTACTGTTGCTATGGCTACCTCCTCAGGCCAACTCGATTTTGCATTTCTGTTAGCTAAAACGGAAAATGCGCATCAATATTTTGAGTCTAAATATAAAATTTTATGTAATATTGTATATTTAGTTCTACTTTTTACAGCCCTTCGAGAACGATGTTTAGGTTTATTTTTGTTGATAATAAATAGTACATTTGGCATTTTAAAAATACAAGAAAAACACTGTTTAATTAGAAGGCCAAAGCGTTTATGTACTATTAAAAGCCGTTTTATTTCCTCAAGCTAAGGGCAATTAACTGAAGCAACAAAGCGTAGTGACAAGGAGTGGTTCTTATCAGCTGTCAGCCTACAGTGTAGTGGACAATTAACATAAGAGTTTGCTCCTCAATCACAGAAGTGCTAAACAAGATCAATGCACTTGATCTATCCAGTGCGCACCTATGACCCTCTTTCTAAGAGTACACGCGACCTTTCCTAAACCGCGCGATCTAATAAGCAACAAAATTACACTTCTGTCATGTGTCCATAAAATTTAAAAAAAAAAAGTAATTTATGCGCCGCGTGTGTGTGTCGGAGAGAGAGAGAGAGAGAGGTGGATGTTTATGCGGATAGGTGTTTGAAACTTGGAATATTAATCATAGGCCTATCTGTCTGTCAGATTTTTTTTTTTTAGAGAGGAGCAATTCTAGCACTTGAAAAAAATTTCCAGTGCGATGTGGGACCGCTGTCTTCCCGCAGCAGATGCTGCGCTATCGATCCGCGCTGAGCAGGGCCGAGTGAGGGAGGGGTGTGTGCGTGCGTGTGTATGTGTGTGTGTCCGTGCGTGCGTGCGGAGAGTGTGTGGCTGGAGGTAAAATGGTCAGCTCTTACCGCAAAAAAAGGTCTGTTTGAGGGTCGAGGTGAAAGTTCACTCACTGCGGCTGGAGAGCTCGATAGAAGATATGAAAACAATCCGTTTCAGAGTGCATCGATAAGCCTGTACACCCTTTATAATTTGTAATTCTTATAAATAAAACACAAGAATTTTCCTTTAACCTTTTAATAATTTTCTTGTGCATTTTAAAGTCATCTAAAAAAAAAAAATCCAGCATAGCATGTGGATTGAATGGGACAATTTGTGCGATATTAACTCATCATCAGCAAGGAAACCAAGACAGATATTTTAAAATATAATATAGATAAATAACAATCAATGATCATCATGGATGGTTGTCTATACACTGACGTCTCCTTTTTGACATAGGCATACAATGCATTTTTTCCCGGTGCACCAGGAAGGTTTATTATTATTATTATTATTATTATTATTTCAAAATAATTTCATAGCTCTCTTAAGATTTCTGCACGAATTAGGGAGAGCTTATCTGAGAGCTACAAGTTCAGCACCATGTAAGGCATTGCAGAATATTATTAACCAATTCTCTTTCTCTGTCTGGGACACGTATCAATGATCAAACATTGTTCAAAACAAACCGTGGAAATCAAAACAGCGGCCAGCGAGTAAGTAAATTATTTATACCTGTCTATTGAGCTCTTTGAGCCTTTGGTCGAGCCACGTCCTTCTCCCGAGCGGTGTGTGTCAAGAGGCCTGCAGGTTAACACGTACATGAGGCTAAACGAGCAGAGCTAAGCAGACAGATACGAACAGTGTGTGTTCTAAGAAAGTCATTGAAGAGTTTAACTCCTTCACATCATAATGTTACCATCTTGTGTTTGAGACAGTAGAGACGGTGTTAAATAGCGCATATCACTCAGCACATAACATCAATTACATGTGTTTTATGTAGTGGCCTAAATGTGTAAAACTGAATAAATATGGACATGCGACATTTCTACTTCTACAACGAAAGCATTCTTCTGACTCTGCACATTTTTGTATATCAGGAAGATCAAAGTTGGCAGACCACATGCAGCTCCAAAAGTAGAACAATATTTATGTTCTCACCACAGGTGACGTTTCGAGCCTAAAAGCTCTTCGTCAGAATATTATATATTTATATACAGAATATTGTATATACTGTAGCCTATATAAAAAATATGTTTATGGTATGTAAGGAATAACTTTAAAATTCAATGCAATACACAAAAAGTAATATGCATTAGGAGGTATATAGCCAGATTTGTTTTCCCGTGCTTGGTATTTTCGGCCTCCTGATAAATCTCAAAGACATAAATGTTATTGATCACATTTGAAAACTGTCTTGTTTGTGTGGTTCTTGAAACCTTTGTGTCAGAATATTTGAATTTATTTTGTGCATTTATTTTTGTGAGGAGACATACAAAGCTGTTGAAACATCGGCTTCATACAGCATAAGTAGGCTACTATTTATAGAAACATTTAATAGAAAACTACGGTTAATAATAATAATCAGTGTTTATACTTGTAGTCTTATAACAGTTACCATGGATTTAAAAATAATAATAATACTGTTTTAAAAATGACTTGTGCAGTAGTATAATTTCCCTTAATCTAGCTGTTTTTGTTCATCCAGGTTTATCTGTTTGTCTTTTGATTGCAGCGCTTTATCATATAGCCTAGCCTGACAAAAATATTACAATTGAAGACTTTATTAAAAACCATAAGCAATATAACAAAATAAAAAGAACTAACGCAAATCTACTAATGCGATGGGGGGAAAAGCAAATATGAAATTGGGCAGCAAGTTTAAATTGTAATAAAAATATTTTACTGTTAACCTACAAATATGTCACTTATTCCTTTCCAATTTAACCTATTTGACAAGTGTGCAAGGAGGTTACTAAAACTGTGAGCTACATTATTTACATTCAGCAATATTTGTTTTCATGCGTTTTTGTCTCCTGTATTAGTGTTAATATTGTATATAGCCCAAGTCTTAATATTTTGGCTTCGGAAACACGTCTGAAAGCACACAATTAAATGAATTAAAAATGATACGTCCTATACTAACTAAACCGTTCATTTAAATGCACAATATAAAGTAGAGCTAGAACAAATTAATTTCATCCAAAAATAATAGGACGCATGGTGAATAATAAAAAAGAAGTCGATCGATAAAAAAGTCAATAACTCAATTAACATGCCCGAACCTCACTGAGAGCAGGCCCACGAAACACGGAAAATCACATGAAAATAAAACTTTGTTCATTACAAACTTTGTTTGTAATGGTACACGGTAACTTTACAATTATCCAAAAGTCAAACGGAGGATTATGTAATAACAATTCTAAAAGTTTAAAATTACATATCTATGAATGATATATATAAATAGGCCTATTTAAAATTACATTTGCAAAATATTTAATTTTCTGGGATAGCTAACTGCATCAGAAAAGGTAGGCTACAGAAATTCATTAAATAACTTCAGTGTGTTCATGAACGTCAATATTCATTTTGCTTTGTTAGATTTTGCGTTGTAAAGTTCAAACTTAAGATGAAGTGTAAAGCCTACATTTTTTAACTGTAAAAAAAATAAATAATAATAATTAAAATACATCTTACATTACACACGATCCTAAGAGAATTTTCATGGTACCGCTGTTAATGTCCACTAGATGTATTATTTTGTTTAAAATGATAAATCTGGTTATGCCATACACAACTCAATTCTTTTGTCCCGCACGTTTCAATACAAGTCAATCAGGAGATTGAATTATTCACTAGAATGTACAAGTAGCCTACATTAAACATACAGATATATATTACAGGCCTATGCCTATTTTATTTATGTAAAGGTATTTAAGGTTATATATATATATATATATATATATATATATATATATATAAAAACGGTTTACAGATAAATCCTGAGAGAGATTTATAATTCTAACAAATATGAAGACAAGACTGTATTAGGGGAGTCTGCTGAATTACTAAGGCCATGCTCATATTCAGCTTTCAGTAACGTTTCACTAGTCACATTCACAAACTCAGCCACAATGTTAAAGGATAATCTTTTCTATGATTTTACGATTTAACCTCTGAGCCACAGAGAGTGTTCAACCGCATTCAAATGGGCGCGCGCCCTTGTTTCTGGTTCTGTTTATCGATTGGGAAACGTGGGCGTGCTGCCAACATGCAGGATGGCAATCTATTATTACCATTGTGAATTATTAGCAATCGGAGTCTAACAACCGGCCATATATATAATGTGTATGATTTCTAATGTTTTACATGCTAATGCATAGCGTTTAAATTTGACTGAATTACGCAGTAAAACAAGTATAGCATTTTAGCCTTTAGTTTAGTCAAATTTTAACGCCATATCTTCAAAGCAACAAGATGATGCAATCCAGATGAATCCGTTTGGAACTGGTTGAATCATATTTAAATAATTTCACAACATTTAAATTTACTTTTAAAATTCTATAGGGTTAGATTTGTGTTACTAAAATTATTTAAGATGCAAGGCCTTCTCCAAATTAAAAGCAGCAGCTCTCAGTTCTAACGCTAAAAAAATCCTCCGCCTCACAACACTGAACATGATTCTGCCTGCATTTCCATTGCACATTCTTTCCACAGAATAACAACAGCAACAGCAGAGCACTTCAAACACCCACA